CGAGAGCTCTATAGCGGACTGTGGGCGACGTATCACAATAAAAAATTGCTCTTGGGGAATGCTGTCTTCTCCAAACCACCTCATATATTTTCAGGATTTTCAGCTGCGTAGAACGGCGGGCGAGGAAAGACGTCGAGACACTTTTTGGCGCGTCGTTCCCACGGGGGTCACCCGCACCCCCCCTCATAGGAGGGTCCAGCCTCTATTCTGAAGGAACGACTGTCTTCCGCAGAACTAGAGTGCTGGTTTACGAGCCTACACTCACTCTTCCCGGACTCTCGAGGCTCTTCCCCTTGACCACCACTCCCATCTATGAGGTTCGGCCTATGTATATCCAAGGTATCTCATTTAATTCACTTCCGGGGAGCCACGCGCGGGCCGTCTATGTATAGATGGCGTCGCGCCACGTATGCTTGGTGCGTATCTGACTACTGTTCATACACTCCCATCCTCTTGTGAGCACCGAACTAGTATCAAGGTATGTATAAATATCGCTTTCCAAGGAAAATTCACAGAGTGTCTGATATTCCACGCTTCATTTCAAGTACAGGACGTACAGGGCTGGTTTAAACCTGGACCCGCAACGACCATGCAGCAGCTACTACTCGATCTGGACGTCCTGGGACTTGTCTGCGAATCGCTCAACGATGCAGCGACGGTATCGTCATTCTCTCTCGTCTCTCACGCCCTTCGCCCAGTGGCTTTGAAGCACTTCCTTGCCATGAAGGCTGTCGTGCTCAAGGACGAGCGAACGACCCGCGCGTTCCACGAATTCGTTGCCACTAATCTAGAGCCCCGCGTTCCCGTCATTCGGGCCCTGCGCATCGAAATCCTGAAGCTTGAGGAACATGCACGCCCAGACGTCGTACGGTATATCTTGGACCTCCTGGAACACATTACGCATCTTGAGTCTCTCACATTGCCCCGTCCTGAAGATACGTTCAAGTGCCTCGCGGATCCGAGAGTACCGGAAGCTATCGCCCGGGTATCCACCCTACGCGAGCTCGGCCTGCTGGAAGGCTGCCACGAGATGGAGGCGATCGTCAAGTCCACGCGTTCAGTGTCCTCGCTCCGCGTCCTCCGCCTCTCGCTGATGGCTCTGCCCGAGTTTAATGGAGAAGATGGCGTCCCAATATCCAAATTCGACGCCCTTCTGGGCCATTTCGCGCCCACGCTCGAAGTCCTCGACATCACCGAGCGGACGCTTCTGTTCGACCAGAAGGGGTTGCAGTATCCCGCCCTGCGGTCGCTCAAGTTGGGCGTGGACAAGGGCATTGTCCGCATGGACATCCTCACATACAAATTCCCTGCGCTGGACGATTCGTTCTCCATCGGCACAGTGTTCGAGCTGCAGCACAACGTGCCGAAGCAGAGGCGGATCCGCGAGGCGAACAAGGAGCGGCAGCTGCGACGGTCATGGACGCACCTGGACCGCGTCACCGGGGACGTGCTCTCCGTCTTCGTGCTCGGTCTCACGTGTCCGGTGCGCCATACATATCATGCTGGACACGTACAACTTCTACACGACGGAGCACATCGCGGACATTCTGAGAACCGCCCCGCCGACTCACCTGAAGCTGACGATTATACTGTGCTATGGTCCCCTAATCACCCAGGACCTGTTCCCCCCGGAAGTCATGCCGCGGCTCACCCACCTCGTGCTCGTACTCTTGTATACCAATCCCATCGCGGAGGACAACCTCGCCGATGGAGAGGCCATCGCCACCATGCAGTGGAGAGACCTTCTTGTACGTCCCCGACATTTGTGCTCATAGTTTCTGCGAACTAACCGTTGGATCCTCGCGCGTCAGTCTAAGATCATAGAGTCTGTTCGCACGCTGCGCCTCACCCACTTGCACTTGTGCGTGCAGGTCCGTATTAACCTCACCCATGGCCTATCTTCCCCGAGCCCATACTCCAAGGACTTCGTCCGCGACGTAGCCACCCTCGACCCCCAGCAGATCGAAATGGAGCTGATGGACGCACTGCCGTCCCTGCAATACATTTTTCTCAACATGGGAGGCCATTTGGAGATGCCCACAAGGATGTGTAAACCCCCTTACGACGAAACAAAGCGTGACCGATGGCAGGCCCGTTCTGCATGGAGGAATATGAACAATGATTTGCTCGGGCCTTCCGCAAACCCAGAGAAGCTCGGCGAGGACGTCATGGAGCGAATGATTCTGGATGAAGATCTCATCCTATCCGAACATGACGAGGTGAGTGACTGGAAGTGTGTCACTGTGCGGACTTTGCAATCTGACGTGGCTGTACGTTAGGATATGTTGGGGTGGAAGACCCCTTAAAGCCCAAGTGAAACCACACCATAGCCTCTTCCAGAGTAATTTGTACAGAGCGGGCACAACAGAGAAATTCACATCCTCTAGGATGAGTCAAGCGTCTGAAAAACGAGGTACTGTTCCCGAGGCCAGTAAACCACGCTGCAGTCTAGCATAATCCGCGTTACGGACGTTCTACAACAGCTCAAGAGACTTGGTCATTGCACCTCGGCGCGCATACATTTCGAGTAGTACCAGAAGTACTACCATAACACCCTCGGCGTCGCGGCTGCGCTTTCAGGACCTGATGAGGTTGTGGAGGCCGAGGTACGTAACGGTGGAGTTCACGGGGACGTAGAGGCCCGCGCGGTCGGTGTCGTTCGCGTTTTTGAACGCGACGACCTCCCAGCCGTCGCGCGTCCACGACTCGCGCGAGTGCGGCTGGACGACGTACCAGTCGTCGTGCGCGGACGAGCGCGAGTACTTGGACACGAAGACGTGGCAGGGCTCGTTGGAGTTGTTGGCGACGATGATGCTGCCGGCCATCTGAGAAGATGTAGAATGTGAGCGACGGGGGTTGCTAATGGGAAGACACGAGCTGAGCGACGTACGTCTGATGTAGAGTTCGGGTGGTTGGGTGGGCAGGGGAGTAGGTTTGGAGTGCGCAGAACCCCTACGAGAGTGATTAGTTAGTAAATTCCCGCTTGGGTAGAAGGCGAGGAATGCGTACTGAGTATGCAAATGCTGAGGCCTGGAGATGTTGATACACTCCAGTCAGGTTATATACGCTCCGCGGGCGTTTCTACCTGAGGTTGAGGCCGTCCGCTACATCCAGCCAAGACGGAACGATACGCTCAGCACATCGCATGACGTACTTGGCACTCGAAGTTCCCCTCATGACTCAGAGCTGCACCTCCGTGTCAAGAGTGAGCGCCCTCATGCTATACGCACGCAATCCCCGAGTTCCATCGGACGTACCGTAGCGTGGACTTCCGCCCTCATGATGCCGGCCATATCACTAGGCGAGACCGGCGACGCTGTGCCCGATGCGCCTCGGAAGCCCGTTCAATGATTCCCTACGGGGCGGAGACTATCCTCCGTACATCCTAGAAAACCCGTGCGAGGGATATTTGAGTTGTTACGCATGATATCTATGGCGGCGCCGAACGACTGGGTTATTATGTGTATATGGGTTAGTCATTGGGAATATGTAGTTCGAAATCGCGCAGGAAGCTGGACGCGCTTCTGAGCCTGTGGCCCTAGCGCCAGCCGACGGTGTTGAACGTTATCAAACTACTTATCATTACGGCTCTAATTTCGATCAAAAAATGATAGCTGACGGTCTGATCTGAGTAAATATTCAGTATCGCTTATGCGGGGAGTATGGTCTTTGCGTGCGCACTCGAGTTTGGCAGAACGAAGGCGAGGTTGCATTCGTGTCGCCACCGCTCTCTCGCAGGACGCCGGCGAGTCGCGCTGATGGTGCGACTCGAAGCCGGGCCGAGCTCAAGCCGGCGGAGGCGAATGTACATACATGAAGACGTAGCAACAATAAAAGAACCATATGTAGGGATAGCGGAAGGGTGGGTGCAAAAACAGGAAGCACTCGAAGTCGACGGGACTTTCGAGCACACGGGTGAGAGAGGAGATGGACGGGGATACAGTAGGTAGCTACCTTTCGAGCACACGGGTGAGAGAGGAGATGAAGAGAGAACAGTGAGGGTGAGGTCTATATATCATAGTGAACCGAGACAAAGAAAACAGAGAAAAACGCGTTCATGCGCGTCCGCGCGCGGTGCGCGCACGAGCATTGTCGACGACGAGGAGAAAGAGCTTTATGGACGCCGAGCTAGCGCTCGGCTG